CAGATGACATCAGCATTTATGTGGCGTCAAGAAAGAAAGTCAACAAGATGGTCAACAAGTGCATCAAGAACTTGAAGACCTCTAACCAAAATTCTACTTCATTCCCAGCAGCCATAGGGATGATGCTAAAAGAGACAGAGTCACTTGATTCGGCGATCCTTAAGTCCGTATTGGTACTCTTGTCCGGTGAAAGGGAAAAGTCGAGCAAAAAGAGCTGGTCCACATTGCTTTCAAAGTTCACTCAAAGCACAGGGCGTGTACATGATGAGGCCGAGCAAGAAAGTCGCGTTGAGGATTTTGTTATAAAAAAGGGATTAGTGGGGCGGTGCATCTCAACCACATGCCCACCGCCCCAATCATATGTCTACTAGTATTTAAAAAAAATAAAAAATATTTTTTATTAGGCAATTTGCCTAATTTTAGCAGCTTCCTTCCGCTATAAAAAGGCCATTCGGCCAGAAGGAAAAGCGTACCAATTAGTGAAATAAAGAGAGGAGAAAGGAAAAGAGAAAGGAAAGAAAGATAGATATATGTCCAAATATCGGACATAAAAATATCAAAAGAGGAGAAACAAGTGATATTTTAATTTGTTTTATGATATATCTTTTATTTTTAGTGCTCAATTCTCAACTCCGTTAAAGTTCGCCGGTGCTCGTAAATCTGGTGTGCTACAGATTTAGAGACGTTTGCCGTTGTATCTTTGGGGAAGTTACGCCTTAACCGTTAGCAGCCACACGGGGCGTATTCTTCTTGCGGAAAGAGTTTTTACTCGCCTCGGCTAAAATCTTTCCGTTTTTCAGTTGTATTTTATTTTTCTGTTCAATTGTAATTTTCTATTTTTAGATTATTTGTAAGAACTGAAATTACACATCAGTTCGTAGGATTCCCGTGTAATTTTGACACCAAATATCCAACAGATTTGTGTTCACTGGATATCCACAAGTCGCTAAAAAACATGGACAGCAAAGCCACGTTGAAGCAGTTAAAAGCCTCGGAAATGAGCATCCAAGAACTTGAAGAGTGCTTAGAAGCCTTGTTTAGAAGTTTAGTCAAAACCAGAGTTTCTCTTCTTAATGCTCTCAGCCATTAGATGTTTTTGGCTTCACAGCTGGTTTTTGTAATAATTAATTGTTGGAAATTCGAGTGGTTGGAATATAGGTTGAGAGTGGTTGGAATATTTGTTGCAAAAGATGCTTGCAATGTGCTGGAAAATAATTGATGGAATATTAGTTAAACATATTAATTTAACACTCAATAATAACATTAACAACTGCCATACAAGTTGTATACCTTTGTAAATGACATGCCAGAAAAGAATGATGATACATATACTCAATATTTCACAAGTAAAAACTGTGGGTACAACCTTTTATTTTCAGGTACTGCTGATAATATAAATGATCAAGAGTTCAACTTTCACTCTGTACTATTACAAAATGCAACATGAATACATCGGTGTAACTCGGTGATCGTTTAAGCGCTCGCGGGCTCGAGCTAATGAGCTCTAAAGATTCTTCATGCTCTTATTTGTTTTGCATTACAAGTACTTGACACATGCTAGGGAAGTGATTAATAATACAAAGATTAAAATATAATTGAGTTTATGAAGATAAATTGAAATATTATGAGTTACTCATTATTTGTTTTTACTCATTATCATTGTTTTGTTTTTGTATTATCTGAACATAGTTCTCAATCATCAAAAAGTTCATGTCCATTAGTGAGTTTTTGTGAAAAGCAGGGTTGTAATACTTGTGATTTAAATCTATATATATTGAAATAGGTTGATAGAATAATCTAAAAACTTTGAATTTGTAATTAAACATGTTGACTTACTACTAAATAAAATATAGTAAAAATTACTAATATTTATAAAATAAAAATAAAAATTAAATTATACCTACCTATTGTAATTCGTTCATTTCGGTTAATAGCACGACTTTCTATTTGTTAATAAAGTGGTATTAATTTTGAAAAATAATTGTGATAGTTCTCGCAATAAAAGGTTAATTCTACATATTAATTACGAATTATTGTAATTTCTTATTCTTTTGGTAACTATCCATAGAACATGTTTTCAAAAAACGTCTATTAAATATATTTTGTTTTTAGAATATTATTTGAATATGCACAATAAGATTGCAAATATACATTATAAAATAAAAATTAAAAAATCAACTGTGAAAATTTTATTATGATACTTATATGTTACAATTTAATCTTAATTATCAACATTAATAACTAAATCACGGTGATTTCTTACTGATTCAGTAACCAACCACATACCAAAATATTTTTTGTCGTATCTTCAAAAAATAATTTAATCGAGAGGATTAGTTAGTATCCTTTGATTTATCAATAACTCAATTGTATCAGTTTTACAAAAATTATAAACCCATTTTTTTAAAATATCAAAAAAAAAAATAACTATTTATCTTTAATAATAAGTCAATATTTATTCTTACTTACAAATCATGCATTCTCCATTCTTTTTTTTTTTTTTATCTAGCCATTTGTAGACCGAAATATGATTGAGAACACTGTAGAATATAAGTAAAAAATAAATTTAGAAGTCAATTGCAAATATCTTATTGACATAACTACCACAATATTATAATAGAATTGATATAACAACATTAATAACAAATCCCTACAATTTTCTATTCAATTGTAACGAGCCATGTACCAGAAACATCTATTCAAGGAGTTCAAAAATATCCTTTGACTTTATCAATAACTACACCAAACCAATTTATTAAATATTCATATTGCGATTCAAAATATCATAACAAATCTTATATAAATTAGTATATTAGAAAGAAAAATTAGAATATTTATAATATTATAATTATAATGAAAATAGAATAATATTCTGAATAAAAAGTAATAATTTTTTTAACTTCAAAATAATATATATTATTATCTTTTTCAATTAAGTATTGATGGTAATATTTGTCACAATTTTTCAACTTTAGCGTAACTTATTTAGAAATCGAAATAATATATTGTAACAATGTATGAATAAGAGAAGATACATGGAGAAAAGTAGTATATGATTATTATTTATTGATGATATTTGAATATGTTAAATTTTCATTATCCTCTGTTTATAAACACGAGTAATACAAACAGAGCAAAGGATCTATAGCAAAGGCTTTATGCACAATATGATAAAATTTAGCAGAAAGTAGAGTATCATTATCCATTTTTTTCTATGTAATTTAGTTTTACATATGACTATGGGTGGTGTTATGCTTACAAGTGTAGCTCAAGTGAGTTAATGGCTAATAACATTAAGAAGGGAAACTCTTGTCCTGACCAAGCTTCTAAATAAGGCTTCTACACACTCTTCAATTTCTTGAATGAGCATTTCGGATGCTCTTAACTGCATCAACATGGTTTTGCTGTCCATGTTCTTTGCTGATTTGTGGATTCTTAAGGAACTTAGATCCAT